GCTGGCAGCTCAGTCTCTCACCCACCTCAGCGTGAACGGACCGAGTCTGTCCTCTCAGACTGAAAGAGCAATAAATCTCAGGGCCACACTCACTCTGTCCCGGTGAGGTGTCCAGATTAGAGAAGACCTTCATCTTCAGATGCTCTTATTATGTGAAAGAAATACGAATGGCACATCTATTCTGTCACTAAAGATACAACCCGAAGCACTGTGAAAGTTAAACAGCTACTGTCAAGAGAGCTACTGAATGCTACCAGTCACCCAAGAATGAGCAGAGGAGGAATTTTAAGTGGCTATAGGTGCAAACAGATTACAGAGATGTCTAGAAGAGCTGTAATAGATCATTCAGAGAAACAGAAAAAAAATTTGCAAGCGAATGTATTTTACTTTCATCTCTTCACAGATAATCACTCATTAGTGGCAGAGGGCTTTTTGCTCCAATTGTACAGTCTCAATGGACTGAAGAGATTACACAGAGACAACCGAGCAGAAAACACTTCAAGAAATCCTGATTTATTGTAGAAAACAGGCTTTCTGCAGTTTGCAAGGGGAATTTAAATGTGTAAGCCATTAAAAAAAGCTGGTAGACAGATTCCTTTCAAAGTTAAGGGCCTCTGAACCCAGCTGTGTCACAGGCAGGCTGTAACACCACCTATGCTAGAAAATTTCCAGTGCGTCCCACCATAAATATGCTGTTTTCAACGGTGAGAGTTTTGCCAAGCTAAACTAAATTTCACTGCCAGACTACACCGTCCTCCTTCATGTAAGGAAGGGGAAGTGCTATAGTTTCTGAACGAAACAATTATAAGCACTTATTTTAACGTGAGAAAAGGCAACGTACTTCCCCCGAATCTGACTTCCAGTAAACTGCTTTGCTACCACATTCCTGCACATATCAGCCCGAGGCAGACAGAGCAGCACAGAAAATTTTAGCTCATAACACTTAATGCTCTCTGCCATACAGCTCTCCATTTTGTTCCACCCTCAAAATGTTAGGAAAGATATTTAAATGAAGAATTATAGGAATAGGTGGCGTTTCAGTGGTTTAATCCAGACGACACGTGTTTGTGTTGTCAGAAGGTTGCAGCCTTGTTGTGTTGTTGGACTAGATGATGCACAGAGGTCCCTTCCAACCCCTGTGATTCTGCAGCTGCACAAGGAAAGGTTGCTGGCTGCTTCACAGCTTTCAGCACAGCTCCTCAGAGGCAAACGTCCTTGCTGGCTAAGCTGCGAGTGGAAGAGCTACATGTTTGCTAAAGGAAGTAAAGGACTGGTAATCTCTGCTCTACATGCCAGTAAATAATCAATGCTCAAATGATGACTTGTCTCTGAAGGACTAAAGAAGAAGACTCTTCTCTGAGGACATTTTTCAATAGTTTTCTGTCACTCGGCCAAGGTGCAAGAGGATTTTGCCAGCCCATCGGGCCCACGAGGTAATTCTCCAGTCTTATGCTTCCTCGGAAAGATGTACAAAGACCAAATCATTCACTCAAAATTTCACCTCCTTCGGCCTTACCTGCTTGCCTTCACCTCTCAACTGAATGACAAGTCAGGCTTAAACGGAGCCACAGGGCCAAGCACACTCCCACTGCAGCCACCTGGAACGCGCAGCAAGGTGCACTCATGGTGAAATATGTTAATTCCAAATGCCACAAAGTCGCAGGACAGAGGGCAGAACGACCTCACCACCCCTCTACTGACTTGCCACAAACGCCCCATCTACCTTGGCTCCTACTCCAGCAATTTTTATTAAAACTGCTGTTTCTCTGCAACTTTTACTAAAACTCAAGTAAATTTCAACTGCAACCACCGAGTCATAGAATCACGGAATGGTTTGGGTTGGAAGGGACCTGAAAGCTCATCTGGTTCCAACCCCCCTGCCATGAGCAGGGACCTCTTC